CTAAAATGTGGTGGAGAAATGATTATACATGCATTATTAAATCTTTACACTTGTATTATCGATAGAGAAGAGATTCCAAGTTCATTTAAATTGGCAGTTAAAATCCCAATTCCTAAGGGCAATAAGAAAACACACATGTTTGATGATCATCGAGGGATAAGTCTGCTGCCCTGTGTTAATAAAATCTTGGAACGTATAGTATTATCACGATTACAAAAGCAACAAAATTGTCTCCATCATCCGCTCCAGGGTGGATATCAAAAACAACAAGATGCTCTCACGACATGTTTTGCAATTGAAGAGGTGCTAAATCACTGTTCCGAGGACAATGATAAAGTCTATGCAGCCTATATGGACATCTCAAAAGCTTTTGACACTATGTGGATTAATGGAATGCTTTACAAGCTATACTACACCAAAGGGGTAACTGGTAAAACTTGGCGGCTCATACGAAATTGGTACTTGAACATGAAAGAATTTGTTATCGTTGAAGGAAAATCATCTTGTATATACGAGCTAGGGCAAGGTACAAGACAAGGTGGGGTTCTATCACCCTGGCTTTTCCTGGTATTCATAGACAACCTTATCGAGGAATTGAGCAACATTAAATCTGGAATTTGCATCAACACCGTGTATTTCGGATCACCCATGTTTGCGGACGATCTAACTATGCTATCACGTATGAAATCTGGACTGGACAAAATGTTACGATGTGCTTCGGAATACAGTAACAAATGGAGATTTACATTTAATGCTACGAAAACGGTAGTTTTAACGTTTGGTGAAAGCTATCGGGAACGTAGTGTAAATCGCAGCATTAGAGATTGGCATCTTGGGTCACGAGTTATTTTGGAAAAGGAATGTTGGTTCAATCTTGGAAAAATATGGCATGTAAATAAGGATTCGTCTGCATTCGTTTCCAAAGCTGTTACCAGAGGAAGAGAATCCGGAATGGTTTTAATGAAAATGGGAGCTCGATATGGAGGATTAAATCCTATAATTTCAGTTCAGTTATGGAAGCGGATTGGTATCCCAAAGATGTTGTACGGTTCCGACCTCTGGCAATTGAATTGTAATGACATTGTTGAACTGGAAAAAGTGCAAAATACTACGGTGCGTATTATACAGGGGTTATTACCTGGAATATCAGGGTCTGCTGCGAGAGGGTTGCTGGGCTTACCACCAATCGAAGCTGAAGTCGATAAACGGAAATTGTATTTTCTGGGACGACTTATACTAATGAGTCATGGTGTTCCGTGCAGAAAGATCTTCCTCATGAGATTAATACGTTGGAAGTGGAACCATACAAACACCTTAAAAGGATTCATTCCAAATATTGTACGAATTCTTTTGAAATATGATCTCATGGACTTTCTAACAGGGTATATTTTATCCGATCAATTTCCAAGCAAATCTGCATGGAAGAAAATTGTTAAAAAACATATATACGAGTACTATAACAATATCTGGCAAGAAAAAATAAGTACGCATGGTCAACTAAAACTTTATGCAGAAGTTCATCCTGTGATTGAAATTTCACCATGGTGGTTATTAGCTAGAATGAAACCGGACTTTATGAAAGAAATTAATGATGTTCTAAGACTACTCTGTGGATCTTACAAAATTAAAGGAAAACGGGTGAACAAACCAGAAACTTATAGAGACTATTGTAATGTTTGTAATAGCAATTTCTTAAATCCTGTAAAGCATGCATTACTTTATTGTAATGGCACAAGCCAATTAAGAGAAGAACTATGGGAATGGATAAACGATACTATGCCAATCGAAATGGCAGTACATTTAGCAAGTTTGACAGACATGGAATTTCTCTTAGTTATATTAGGTAAAAAGTTAGAAGCATTATGTGCAAACACAGACATATGGACGGAGCTATTGCTGAAATCTGCAAGTTATGTTTCCTTTTGTTATAGGAGTAATTTAGTTAGCTAGTTAGGTAACAATAGTTAGTTTTTTCACTATCTTTATTTTATTATTAATACTTCCTTTGTAAATATACCTACTCTTCAGAAATTGGAGGCAATAAAGATTTAAAACTGACTGATTCGTGTGAATTTCCCCCACTCATTACAATAGTGTAAAGTGAAACTTTACATTAAAAAGGAGGTCAAAATAACCAGGAAAGATAATCAGGAACATTAAGTAAACCTAAATAGGGTTATTTCCAGGTTAACTAGGAAAATTTTAACCAACGTGTTTCTAAAGTGTATTTTCATTGTTATAACGGCTTATTGACCGAGCGTGAGGTCTGTACTGTGAAATATCAGACCGAGGTTTTTTAGTATGGACCGAGCGACGAAGGAGCTAGCGAGGTCCATGCAAAAAACAGAGGTCTGATATTTCGCAGTACGGACCAAACAAGCGAGGTCAATAGTCGGTTTATTATATGGCTGAACTGAGTCTGTGAGCATATGCTTTTCGCGCGAATTAAATCGGCTATCGTCAGTTTCACTGGGTAACAATATACGGTAGGCATGCACGGATGCTCAATCAAACACAATTTGGTTGTGTGAAATTTTTATCGGTAAATTGTAATGACACACAATTGGAAAATTAACAATCAAAAATTTTTCCTGTTTGCAAAGCAAAAATTTCCCGCCAGATAAACGATATCCGGAACACCGGTCCAGATACGGAAAATACCAACTTCGTACCTAGGGCATTTTTCTTCCAGTCAGCGAAAATGGCCCTGGCATCGGCCGGTCACATGACCTCAAAATATCCAGTATTTGGCGTGTTCAATTATGATAATTTATGCGTATAAGTCGTATATAGAATAATAATATACATTGTAATTACTGACAGGAGTAAACAAACTCAATGCTGCGTATATAATCAAAGAGAGAGCAACAAAATAAGTTGACTATATTCGGTTTTCCTTGTTTACACCTCATTCAGCAACATAGCCCGTAATATTGATGACTTTTAAACATATTCAGACCCTGTTTAGTCCTGTGATTCTATTCTTAATGAATAACCAAAAAAAATAAAACCGCTTCGGCATTTGGTTTATATAAATCGTGTTGAGCAAATATATTTATATCACAATCTTTATTTGACCATAACGTGTACTTTTCTAGAAACTGATCAACGATGTGTAAACAACGCATGTGAGAAATGTATGTTGAACCGAAGCAAATACTCGTCTATACAAAATGCACAAAGACTTAATTTGGAACAAATTGTTTTGTGATGTATTGTCTTTCCCTAAGTCATGCTGTATCTCAAGCGAAATGTCAAAAATCTTATTTACTCAATACTTTATTCCTTCGAGAACTAATTATAAATTTTAACTCCACTCTCGTTCCATCAAAATAATAATTATTCCCACATATATTGAATAATTACATTCAAAATCATTGACCAATCAGGTTGCAAAACAGACCAGCCGAAGCCTGGGCCTTTTTCGCTGACCATCCACCGCGGAAGCAAAAAGCCCTGTGTACGAGGTTGGGAAAATACCGACAACGGTCCGGATATGGCTATTTACGGACCGCTTGTCAACCAATCAGAATAGAGAAATTTGAAAAGCCATACAATAATATATTGTTACTGTTGTGCACTTACTTTGAATATCGCGATAGTTGTAGGAAACTTCAACTTCCTTATTTGAAGGCACATTCAGAGTAAGTTTACATTTCAGATTGGCGCCATAGTTACTGGCGAATCCAGGCGAGTGGACACGACCAATAGCACTGGGGATGATTGTTCTGGTCGGACACACACTCACTGCTGGGGGCAAACCAGTTGCTAGAAAAAATAAACATGGGAATATTCTATACACAGGAAGTAGTAAAAAAAGTTAATCTAACTATGGCATGCTTTCTTGCGATAGATATTACACATATTAAATATTGCTTACTCCGATTCGTGTTGAATTTGAGATCAAAACCGCTTTGTTGAACATTACCATCTGTCACCATTCTAAGCCTGACGACATTCAGGCCAGTCACAAATGGCGCCGGAGTGATGATCCCACACAATTTTTTTGATACACGTCCAGATATTATGAGTTTATCATAAGGACACCCATCTGTAAAGTAAATAATTAAATACGGTACATAACAATAATATCCAAGACTGCATCTCTCCGCCAGCAAATTGTTATGTACCTTGCATAAGTTATGCTAAATACCAATATAGTTTACTCCACATGCTATAGCAAGACAAACCTTAATTTCTACTCGACCCAAATTTCATCCAAATTTAAACAAAATTTAATCAATTTGTCCTTTGGCAATGTTCAATAATTTTCATCAGCATTAACAATAACGTGTGAATCTGTGTCGCTGGAATTTCCCACAATGGAGCTAAAGTTCGGAAATCTCTACTTGCAATTGTGCGTAATTCGGATACATTGGCAGTAATAAAAAATAGAATTCACGCTCATACCTTCTAAATTCTGTCAGGATTAATTATTTTGTGCTATTTCGAAACTGTTCTGTAATTTACTTTTGTAAATGTGCGCATGTCTTATAGAAACACTTGTGTTTGCGTAGCGTATCTTAGATGTGGTTACATTCTCCTATATCAAAGTGTATGTAATGTATATAACGGTATACGTTCTTTAATATGCTATTCATACGCCCCATCGTGGAAACCAGCTTTAAAGTTGACGAGACTACCGTGTGAGACTAGTATCCAGCTGCTTCTCCTAGGCCTGCTCATGTTCCTCCTCCCCCTGCTACTGGTACGTATACTGCTACTACTTTTACTACTACTACTACTACTACTACTACTACTACTACTACTACTACTACTACTACTACTACTACTACTACTACTACTACTACTACTACTACTACTACTA